AAGAGTTAGAAGCTGATCTGAGAGAGATACAGAGTTAGTCACTGATCTGAAGATTAGATGTGATGACAGAGTTAAGAGAGATGAAAACTATATTATAAGTGATAATATCTCTACTCTATCAGCTAGTAGAAAGTAATCAGAGAAGTTATAAAGATGCTTATAAAAAGCTCAGTAGTAGTCAGACATTGTTTATAAAAATATTAAAATTAAATTTTTTTTTATTCTTGAGAAGTTCTTGAATTAATATGCAGATATTATCAGAAATACTCTCTCTCTGTTATCTGAGTAGAAACACTTCATAGATGAATAAAAATACTCATAGTTTATAAGAATAGAAGCTGTTATAAAAAAAGAGAAAAGAAGATGAGATTCTGTGAACAGATTTAGAGTATTTATACAACTCTAGAGAAGTTTGTTTACACTATAAGTAATCTCACAGAACAGTCAGATTACTTTAGTAAATAAAAAGTGATTATAAATCACAGATCTGAATCTTTCTATATAACTATAAAGAGTGATTGTAAATTATAAATATCTTGATTATACAATTCTACAGAGTTGATGAAAGAATGAGAAATTTCTTACAACTCTACAGTGTTAAAGAAGAATGATTCACAAGAATAAGTAAAAGATTAATTCACAAATACTTCTTTTTAATGAGAGTAATCTTACAGAAAGTGATTCATCTATGAGATGAATCTGTGTAACAGTTACACAAGAATCTCACAGAAGAATGATTGAAGATGAACTGAAATTCTTCAGATTGAAAGATGCAGAATGAATCTGTGTGATAATTACATAAAACTCTTATAGAAATAATTAAGAGTTCACTGAAACTCTTCTGTATGAAAGATGTAAGATGAATCTGTATAATAGTTAGAGAAAGATCTGTAGATTATAAAGAATCTTATAAAATAAGAAATGACTCTTTTCTCTTTACAGTAATGAGAGATTTTCTATAGATATAAAGAGTTTTTAGTGAGTATCACTGCAGTGCTAAGCTCAATTTTATGAAATCACTCAGTGAAAGACTTCATAGATGAAGTCTTAGAGAGAAGAGAGTATGTAAGAAATCTTACTTCTTATGAATTCTTTATCTCTATTTCTATCTCTTATGTAATTAATAGAGTTAGCAGCTCTTGACTACACACAACTATATAGACTGAAGTTTGCAACTACTATTCATAACTTAGCTTGAATACTATTATACATTTCATCTCTACATTTATCTTTCTACTGTGAATACTTCTAGTAGTTATCAGTACATATCAAGTCAAGCTGCAAACATCTGAATAATCGCCCGCGAGCACTTATTCTTACATCATTTATAATCTGAAGACTCATGTATAAATATTCATTTATATCTATCTTAAGAATCTATATTAAGAAATTTCAAACACATCTATTTCTGAGATTGATCTTGATAATCTCATTAATGACCTTATCTGCTACAAGACAGTTATCAGATTCAATGATAATAAAAAGAGAATGTCAGTAAAAGAAGCTGAAAAGAAAAAGAAAAAGAAAAAGAAAAAGAATAAGAATACTGAAAAGACTAAAGAAGTAGATAATTCTAAAAAACAGCAGTCTGTAGATAAGTGAAGAGAAAACACTCTCTACATCTGATAAAAAAGTATGTTTAACTCAGATCTCAAATGTAAATATTGCAGTTGCTAAGATCACACTGAAATAGTCTACTACTGTAAAAATTGAAAGACTTAATTATAGAAATAATAAAATATTAACTGTTCTGATATTGAATATTATACATAAAAGTATACAGTCTCTGATAAAAAAGTAAAGAATGACAGCTTTGCAGAGACTGTAAAAGACCTGTCTATAATAACTGAAAAAGCACTGTTAATAATGTATAAAGACTCTTTATAATATTTAAACACTGCAGTCTTCTATATCATATCATCTGACAAGAGTGTGTTTAAATATATACATACTCTCATTAATGAGTAGAATCTCAGTTCAGCAGAAGAAATTAATAGTGAGTTAATTACTTTTATAGATGTGAGAGAAGCTTGTATTTACATTAATAAAATGAAACTTAATCTGCTTAATATCTGCTATATACTGAGAGTATCTTATAATCTCTTTAGCTTCAGCTAACTTATTAATAAGAGCCTCAATTTTAAACTTCTTCATAATAAAAATTGTTAAATAATTGAATTTATAATGATTAATAAGAATGATCAAAGATTCTACACAGTAATAATTAATCACTATATCTATCTTATTTATAGCATCTGAGAGGCCACTCTAGCTATGATTGCAAAGACTGCTTCAAATTATATTAATACTCTATTTATATAATATATATATCTTAATTATCTGAATATCAGTAACATTTAATAACTGATGAAAGATCTCATCTCTAATACTACAATTAAGAGAGACTCTGAAATACTGTTCTGTAAGATCTGTAAACTTGCAAAAGTTAAGAAGAAGATATTATAAGCTCTTATAAGTAGAGTCAACTTATACAGCATTTATCTGTACTTTGATATTACTGATAACAGTGAATTCTTTGATAATTTAGATGATTTTCTCTCTTCTCTACAAGGCTATAAATATTTGTTTCTTATAGTGAATGATATCACATATTATAAGACTGTCTACTTCTTAAAGAACAAAGATTAGCTGCTGAACATTATAGACTTTCATCTGAAACATCTTCAAAATTAAGACATTAAACTGACTTACACACATTCTGATAAAATCATAGAAATAAGTAGTCAGTGAATGCAAGTAGTTCTTACAGAATTCAGTATGAAATGAGAATTAACAGAGTCATATACTTTTAATCAAGATAATGTGACAGAACACTTTATTCAAACTGTAATTTTAAAAGCTTATACTATAATAATTCAAGCAGGTCTCTCTACTATTCTATAAGCAGAGGCTGTCTTCACAGTGATAATATATATTAATATAGCTCTTATAAGCACATCTCTATTTTCAGACACTATTCAACTCAAGAATAGAATTCTGCTTATCTTATATAAAGCTTAAGAAGACAGGCTATATTCATATATCAAGAACTTGCAGACAGTAGAGACATCTGTCTATATATTAAAAGAATGCTTATACACAGAGTACAGCAAGTTCACTAAATATAGTAAATAAATAATTTTAATTGAATACTACAGTAAAATAACGTATAGAATATAAAACTTCTCAAAGAATAAAGTTATTATATTCAGCAGTGTGAAATTCAATAAGAATATTATACTGATATATCTTATAGACTCTGCACTTGATAATTGTAATACAATTGAGATTTCTCACATATTAACTGTAACTGAATTCTCTGATGAAAATCAGTCAAAGACTGTTCAATTGTCTAAATCTATATCTTTACAGAATATATTTCTCTCTGTACATACATCTCTGAAAGATATCACTCTCTTATCTACTACTACTGTTATAAGCTGTAAAGTCAGATAGCTCTGAAAGAAAGTCAGTGAGAAGTCATCTATCTCTCTGAAAAAATATAAGAGACTCTGAAAAAATATCACAGCTTTCAATCTCATTACTCTGAAGATATTCAGTGTTATTAAATTTCAGCTCTATTACATATTCAATATCTGTGTTATGTATCAGATCTCTAAAACTATTGCAGAAATTAAAGTTCTGTAAATATATAAAGAGATAGTTAAATACTCACAGAAGAAAGCTTGAGTAGCTGTAATAAAAAAGAAGCTTAACTTCACAGCTGAGTATAAAATATTTAAAATAGTTAATAAATTAAATATTAAAACTCAGATTCTTGACAGTTGTTGAGTTTATTATATTAAAATTAAGATAAGCAGTGATATCACATTCTACAAAACAAGATAAGTTGTTTAAGACTTCTATTAATAAAAAGAATATTAACTTCAGTGATATCTATATATCTCTTATTTTCATCTCTGTCATCTATACAATACTTACAGTTACAGTGACTAAGAACTGAAATGTTTATTAAGTTAACTTTATTACAGTATTTCTAAACACAGATCTCTCACTCAATGAGTAACTCTATATAAGATAGCTAATTAGTTGGAATAATAATACTAGCTGTATCTATCTACTTCTATAATCTCTCTATAGTTTAAAACAGACACTCTATCTGTGATTCAATCTTCTTATAAATTATCTAAAAGATATTAATTTTAAGTTCTGCTATTATGATAAGAGTTTCTAGCTTAAAAGAGATTCTCAAATCTATCTCACTCTATATATAAATAATGTTAAACTTATAAACTCAGATATGAATACTCTTAAATAGATATTTATATAAATTACTAATTAATTCACCGTGAAAGATCTGAGCTCTATTAATCACTACTTAAGTATGAAAATTGAAAAGAATGAAAGTAATATTAAGCTCTTATAATCTGTCTATATTGAATTAATATTGAATAAGTATGAAATGATAAACTTCAAAGCTGTAAAAATCTTAATAAAATTTGTATTTAATCTGTAATCTGACTCTGAACTCTTTGATAAGTTTAAATATCAGTAAACTATCAGATCTCTTTAATATCTTATTATCTATATTTATTCTGATATTTTCTTTGTAACTGTAAAGCTCATACACTGATTAAATAAGTTAATATAAGCTTGCTGAGCTGCAGTTAAATAACTCTTTCATTATATTTATAGCACTACAGACTACTTCATTTAGTATGCTACTAGTATAAAAGATCTCAATTTTAAAGTCTACACTAATTCTGATTGAGTAGATGATGCTGATAACTGTAAATTTATATTAAGTCATCTCATCTATCTAGCTGATAACTTAACAGCATGAAAATCAGCTAAACAGACAATCATAACTCTAAGTATTATAGAAGCTAAGTACATATCTGTCAGTAAGAGTCTAAAAAGTATAATCTAGTTAAATAAACTACTAATTAAGCTTGAATTTCTACTCTCTGACTTCACTGTTTCTCTGTATGTTGACAACAATGATGTAATTGCTATAGTAAACAGTAATAAGATTATCTGCAATATATACTATATAAATATACAATATTATCATGTCTGTGATACTGCTGCTTCAGACATTATCAAGATTAAATGAGTGAATACTACTGATATAACTGCAGATACTCTTATAAAGATGTTAATCTTTGAAGTTTATAAAAACACTCTAATTAATATAAGAATTTAAATGCTCATAGTCTGCAAAGCTCTGCAGGCATTCTGATTCTACTTCTACCGGAGATTCCCCAGGCTCCCAGGACGCCGATATTGCATGTAGCTAGATGATGGTCGGGTCCTTTACAATGAGTATTAATAAACTCCTCAGAGAAATAAGTAAATGAAAAATAATATTATCAAAAATCAACTATCTAACTCAGCAAATCAGCAGGACATGACATTAACCCTGAGAGCACACTAAACATATTTATCACTAGTGAGGGTCTCAAGTTCAAATTGAGCAATTGTGTCATCATATGCCTTAATAATAGGATCATATAAGCGGTTTGGGTCTTGAGAAGTGCCAACAATAAGACCTTTGTCATTGTAAGGAAAGAGTATGTCTCGTAGGGCCTCACAAAGTGGTAAAACATCACGGAACTTTGGAGGAAACTCCCTCAAAATGAACCCGAATCCCATATTTTCAGCTTTGCTCATATGACCAAGCTTGGCATTTGCAATGTCCTCATAGTTACCAGTATACCAGGCACGAAGTTTACTATCCTTAGGATGGTTATTCTTCCCCCAGCCATGACGGGCGCACTGCCAGATAAGCACGTAAAGAAAAGACTCGAGGTCATGCCGATAGGTATGATCGATATTAAGCAGCACCTCAATTGCCATGAACTCCATTGTGCCAGTCTGGTGCCGTGCGCCGCTTCGCCCACTACCAACTTCTTTAGCAAGATCCAGATCGATTAGCATTCCAGAGTGACCATCCGCCTTTTCCGGATCAGTTATTATTATATTGTTCTCTGAAATATCCCGATGAAGAATGTTTCCATCCAGATAAAGAGACCGATGCGCCTTTATTGCATCGCGAAGTGCCATGAGCAGCTCTAAGGGTGATTCATACTTGTAGATCGGCCGGCCAGTGGGTGATATCACAAGACAGCGGAGGACACGGTTGTCATACAGTTCCTCACCATTCTTATTGAAGAGGCTCGGCTTGTGTGCTGACTGAACGGAGAAAGCTAGTTCGTCCTTCTGCTGGGTGGTGTCCCTCAACGGTTTATTGATGGAACGTGATCGTTTGGACGCCTGCAGCCCCTTGTCCGGGGATCTGCGCTTCCTGGAAGATGACTTTCGACGGATATCTAAGCGACAGGGCTCGGCGAGCGGCTGAGATTGATGAAATGAGGAGGCCCTGCTGGGGGGTGCGCTTTTGAAGTCGTGGCGCTTGTTGAAGGTCAGGCCGCAGCGCATGTCGGCGATACAAGTGATGGTACTGTGGCCGATGATCCTTGCGACCCCTTGGACATTTTTTTGGCCTGCTAGCTCGAGGAGTTCCGTCTCCGGCCGCCGCCTGTCCGACACCCATGAGAATTTGGCTACACCCTCCACTTGTCCATTGTTTGTGAGAAAACATGTGGTCCCGCGACACACAATGGCACGTTGAAAGGAAAGCATTTCACCCAGTCGCAGCACTGTTTTTTCAGAGCTTCCAGGTCTTTTGACAGTTATTGATTTGCTGCCGCCTTCATCCCTAGAAATAAAAGTGTCCAGTCCCAGCTCCTCATCACTCATCATGGTGTAGCCCACAAGCACCTGAAAGAACCGTCTTGAGTCTGTGTAAACATTGATGACGCCCGAGCTGTAGGGGCCCGAGCGGTCAAACACCCACGCCTCCAGCTTGGTCCCGCAGACAGCGAATGCGTGGATGAACCGCCGGGTGGGCTGTGCAGCAAAGACCTCACGCACACAGCGGCTGATCTGCAGCAGTGTGGTTTTGGTCCCAATCTTCTCCTTCGGTTTTTTTAGCTCGCCAACCACCAGGATGTCTCTCCAGTTATGTTTGTTTTGTGAGATGCTCCCACCCCTAGCTCGCAAAAGAAGGTCAACTTGCCGTTCCGCCTTTGAACCAGTAAGATCTGCTTTGCTTGCTGTAGTGTAGTAGATGCTGCGTGATTCCGAGAGAAGGTCTGCTTGAAGATGAAACCACCAGGCGAGGACAGCATCCTGTGTAGGAGGATCAGGAAACTGGGCCCAATTACCATCACTGTCTGGGTCCAGCACGCGTTGACAAATGATATCTACTTTGTCACTCCAATCTTTCTTCTCAAAGTATTTGTCAAAGAAGCCCTCGACATCTCGAAATGTGCAGCCACATATCTCCTCAAAGATTCTTGGATTCACCAACTCACATGTCTGCTCAGAACCTTTCTGTGATGATGAGGTGGATTTGACCGGCGTGCCGTCAAAGGAGGGGGGGATGCTCGCCGGAAGGGTCGCTCGCGAGCTGGTAGTGATGAGGTTGAGGACGGCCTTCCAGATATCGATGTTCAGGTCTTTTTGAATGACGAGCCGCACCAACGCTCGGCAGTGGTCATAGGTGAGGTGGCCTTGTTGGAGGCGCCTGAATAAACTGGCGAGATCGGAAGCAAGGTTTTCATCGCCGGTTCGTGAGCCAAGTTTGAACGCAGCTCTCTCCCCCATCAAGGTGGTAAGGAGTTTTGATATTGCCTGTTGGCAAATTTCATCCCGAGGGTCAGAGGTGTCATTATATTTTTGTTCTGCTTCTTGAAGTAGATCTTGTAATCGGTATAGTGAGTTGCTTAGAGGAAGATTTGCGATGATATCACAATCGTGGTCCGAAAGCTCAGCCATATATGACGAATGGGAAGCAAACACGAGAACAAAATGCAGAATTGTTAGTAAGTTATGATGTATGGTATCTGTGGAAGAAGATAGTACGCTGGGACCGGCTTGATGCAGTACGTGAATGTGAGAACAGATAAAGCCGCTGAGCATTGAACTGGGTGGAGATTAATCCTATTCGATCGCGACGGAATGGTAATAAATGTAAGATTGTGTAGGCTACTGGGGCAAAAGAGCTCAGTCACACTGCTGGTAGAAGGGCCGATCCAAGAAGCAGAAAACTTGACCTCGCTAAGTGCGCCACTTGACCTTGTTATGTAAGCTGATCTCATAAATGAGGCCCATTGCCACTATCTGACCTTGCATAATACATCTTTTCTTATAATTTGAAATCACTCTTTCTTTCTTAATTATTTACTATCAATTCTATAATCAATTGTTAATTAATTGTAGAACAATTCTTCTCTCATTATAATTTTCATATATAGAGAAAACTTTACTTATTTTATTAAGAATTACAATTTTTTTTTTTTTTTTAATACTGAGATTATTTTTGAATTTAATAATAAAGTATTGATATAATTTACACTGAATTGATTATTAACTAGTTTTCAATCAATTGCTAATTGCTTAAATAGATAGATTGAGTTTATTCTTATCTTTTTAACTGATGTGATTATCTATTTAATATATACTTTTAAAGTAAAATATAATTATAACTCATGATCTCTCTAAGTATTTTAAAACTCATATATAAAAATATATATTATGACGGGCTGCGTCTGATCAATTATATAGACTATTTCATTACACTTTATAGATTTCACTGAAAGCTTCAATTCTCAGTTCACTAAAAGCTCTGATTCTCAGTTACTGATTCTTAACTGAAAAACTTATGAAATTTCTATTCTTTCTCTCTGAAGCTTTACTGTGTATATAGAGTCTCTATTCTTTCACTCTGAAGCTTTATTATATATGTGTATAAATATTCACTCTGATTACTGATTTCTGTACTTTCTCTCTCTTTTCTTCTTTAAGATTTTTCACTTTTGTATTATAAGATCTATATATTATATTAATCTATTCAGTGTAGACCTCTTACACTTGAAAAACATTTATCATTTTCTTATTAGAAATGATTACTTATTAAGAAGATATCTGAACATGTAACAACATGTAAGAAATAAAGAAACAATTAATCAGTTAAGTGAATACTGAGTCTTAATCAGTTAAGCAGACACTGAGTCTCTAAATAGAAGCTTACTCATCAGTCACTCTGACTCTGTAACAAGATCTTATAAAGAGAATAAGAGAATGTTAATGAAAGATCTAAGAGTTCTGACATCTTAGACATATAAGATATTCATACAATTACACTTTCAATTTTGAAGAACTCTCAAATGCAGATATTATACATTTAATAAATAATATAACTATGTCTAATGATAATATAAGAGAACTCTCAAATGCAAGTATAGACACAGAATTAGAATAGCTTCAAGTAATATTAAACTTATAATAACAATAGATAGTTAATATGCATGCAACTTAATAAACAATATTAATATAAAGAAATTCAAAAATTGTGTTAACAAGAAACCTCTGTACAGACAATTTTAACACTGACAGAATCAAATATAAATACAATATAAATACTGAAGAAATGCTTAAATATTCTTATATATTTTAATACTTCTGATCTCACTCTCTATTTATCATGAAGATTGAAAATGCTTATAAAACTAAGTATAGATGAAGATGTCATCAGTTTATTAACTAATCAAGATTAATATATCAATGAATAATTAAAGAATTGCATGAGATAGAAGTTTTATTTATAAATAAAAGCATGTAAATCAGTGTTGTGAATATCTGATAATATTATCAAATATCTTGATATTCTGTTCTGAGATACTACTATGTAATAGAAAGTATTAGATTAATTACAGAGTGTCTGACTGTAAGAAATCCCGCTCCTCGCGGATTCTTTACCCCTATTCCTATCTCTCACATAATCAATAGGGCTAGCGGCCCTTGGCTACACACAACTATATAGACTGGAGTTCGCGAATACTATTCACAACTCAGCTTGAATGCTATTATATATTTGATCTCTACATTTATCTTTCTATTATGAACACTTCTAGTAGTTAACAGTACATATCACATCAAGCTGCAAACACCTGAATAATCACCTGTAAGCACTTATTCTTACATTTCAAGCTCAGTCAGTCAGCAACTGCCTGTTATGACTGAAAGAACTAGAAACTCACATGCTTCAACCCCTGCAAATCCTACTGCAGGCACTTAGAAGCAGTCACTCAAATCATGAATAACTCTTATGAAAGAAGTCTCAGAGAACTTATCAATCACTTATGAGACATCATTCTCTACATCTGTGACAGAGGAATTCTCTGAACTCATGAATAAATCAATCTCAGTGAAGAACATTCTTAAGCATCTCTCACAGAATCAAGCTATTTTTCTACAAGAAATACTTGCTGTCTGCAAACACTCTTGAACTGAGTCTCTAGACATGATCTTCAGAGACACTCACAAACTGAAAAGAAACTTTCTCAAGTCATGATCACTTAAGGCCATCTATTGAATCACAATCTATAAAAGCTTTTGCAAGTTTGTATTTGAAATTGACTTACAAGCCTGGCTGTGTGACATGAAAGATAAAGAAGCTGTCATCTATACAATGACAGATCTCTATTACACTGAAGTCAAGAACTGGCTGAATCATCTAGAGAATGATTATAAGAGATTCTGATGATCTGTTCTCAAGACCTATTTAGAGAATAAGTTGAGAGACTTTATGAGCTGAACAGAGAACATCTGAGCTGCAATTATCAATATTAGAAAAAGAGATGAGAAATCTGATAAAGACTACTCACAGCACTTCATGAAATTGTGATGTGAATTGAGACCTGTGGAAACAGGGCCCTGAAACAAGACCTGAATGATGATATTTATAAAGAGACTGAATAAAGACATGTAGAATAAGCTCATTGAGTAAGACTCTAAGTTCTTGACTCTGAAGAAACTGATGACTCTCATTCATTGCTTATGAATCACTGTGAGAGTCACAGACCTGCAGAGAGCAGACTATCAACCAGCCTCATGAGAGTCAGAACAACAGAGAACAGGTTTGTCAGAAAAAGATGACAAGACACAGAGAGATTTGTATCTGACTGCTGAGTAGAGAGAGAGAGCTTTACAAGCTTCTGTGAACAGAGTGTATAACAGAGAGATCAAGGAAAAGAGACTCTACTTCATCTATTCTAAATCAGAATATCTTCACATAAACTGTTCAGACAAATCAAAATAGAAATTTGAGAAGTCATAGACAGAGTCAGCAACAGCCTTCTTAAGAGTCTTGAAGCTGACACCTGAATCTGTTGCTTTCTTAATGAAAATGCTTGCTCACAGAGAGAGACTGTGCTGCAGTGCTGCTGCTCTGCAAGCATGAAAAGCATTGATAAACTCAGAATCTCAGGTCACTGTGATGTTTCTAAAGCTCACAGAGTGAATGAGCTGAAAGATAAAGACTGAGAATCTGCTCTTGTAACAAGCAGGGTGTGAGAACTCAGATCTGAGAACTGAGAGACTCATAAGAGTTATCTTTGAATTGCAAGATCTCTCTGAAATCTGAAGAAGATTTATGAAAACTGTGATTATCACAGATATCACAGATGACATGTATTTAAAACTTACATGACTTCAAAGACATAATCTGCACATAGCTGTTCATGAGTCAGGTTTATACTTTCAATCAGTGTTGACAGACTCACTTACAAAGATAGAAGCAGTTGATGCTGTAGAGTTAATTAGAGAAGACAAGCTCATCTATGTGATGACTTTGCAAGTGTCTGAGAACCTCACAGTCATGAAAACTGAGCTTCAGATATCAGAGAAATATCAAGATCTCACAGAGATGTTCAGCTCAGCTAAGACAGCTGAGCTTTCTTCTCACTGTGAGAAGAATCTGATAATAGATTTGATAGAAGGGCAGAAACCCTTCTGAGAATCAATCTATAAGCTCTCTCACTATGAGACAGAGGCCTTGTGAACCTATGTAAAGAAGAATCTGAAGAATGACTTCATTCAATCTTCACAGGCCTCTGTGAAAGCCTCTGTGATATTTGTGAAGAAGAAGAATAAAGATCTCAGATTGTGTGTAGACTATTATAACCTGAATTTCAAGATAATAAAGAGCTGCTACTCTCTGTCTCTGATTGAGAATATGATCAATCATCTCACAGAAGCTGTCATATTCACACAACTGAATGTAATTAATATATATACATGACTGTGAATACAGTCTGAGAATGAATGAAAGACTGTCTTTAGAACTGCACTGAAATTGTTTGAATATCTAGTGATGCCTTTTGATCTGACTAATATTCTCACAGCATTTCAGTCTTTTATCAATAAAACACTTTGTGTATATCTGAATGTCTTTGTAATAATATATCTGAATGATGTGATGATGTACTTCATGAAGAAGAAAGAACACACTGAGCATATGCAAAGCATGTTGAAGATCTTAGATGAGACAGGACTGTATGTTAAGCTCATGAAGTGCAACTTCAGTGTCTACTGAATTAATTTTCTAGAATATGTAATTATCACAGATGATATTCAGATAAAATCTTCACAGATTGAGACTATTCTATTATGACTGAAGCTAACTAGTATTCATGAGATTCAGATCTTTCTGAGCTTTGTGAATTTCTATAGATGATTTATCTTTGTATTTATGAGGATCTTCTTGACCCTTACAGACATGCTGAAGAGTGAAAATAAGAAGAAGTCATTCTGTGAACAGAGAATGAAAAGATTATTGAGAAGAGAGAACTGTAAGAACTTTCTTATCTCAGAAGCTCACAGAGTCTTTACAAGGTTGAAACAGACATTCACAGACACAGTGATGCTGTTTCACTTTGATCTCTTGCTCTTAATCAGATTGAAGACAGATGTCTTCTTCTTTGTGATTTCAGAAATAGTCTTACAACTACAGTCAAATGAGAACTGAGTTTCAGTGATCTTTTTCTCACAGAAGATGTAATTCATAAAGATCAACTATAGCATTCATGATCAGAAGCTTCTCATAATAGTGAAATTCTTTCATCACTGATATCACTACTTCAAGAACCTCATGACAGTGATTACTGTTAGAACTAATCATGATAGCTTATAACAGTTTGCTTCAATCAAGAAACTCTTATAGCAGCAGAT